CTTCGTGTCTTTTCTGTTACAGCAGGTGAAATCTGAAGTAGCAATTTCGGTGCCCCTACAACAGATGCATCTTTCTTCACAGCTCTCAGTCTATAATCTAAATAACTTTTTAAAAGTCTTTTGAATATTATATGCCAGAAGGATACAGAAGGAGTACAAGCCTATTACTTCCTCCCTTGCAGATCACTTTTAGTATATTCTTCTTGAAGAAGCTGCTAGAGACAGCAGTCTAGAGGTAATCAGCTTTTATAAGATAAACATGGAACCTCTCTCCCCTCTCACCCCCGACAGGAGAAACACATTGTGCGTCTTCCAGTGGGATCATCCTAAAGATTGTAGCTCAGTGATAGAGCGTCTCATTTCATGCTGCCTACACTGGGGGCCTTTGATAAGAGCCACACCTGCTTTGGCATCACTAACTTCAGCTGCACAAAGCCCTAAAATACCTGGGTGGTTCCTGTGCTGACACGAGCCTGCTCTGGAAGAGGTCTCTGACTCATGGCATGGGGAGGGGTATTCCTGACTACCGCATCTAGCTTAGGCCACGCTAAGAGGACAGAAGTTAGGACACCAGACACCACCTGTAGTCAATGGAGAGGTATTTTCAGGAGTGGCTATTTCAGAGCATCTACACCACCAGTGAGTGATTTGTTAATGCAGTCTCCATTCAGTTACCAGCTATGGACTGAGGCTAAGAGGAGCAAGGGCTGGCAGGGGGAACCAACTGGAAAAAAAACAAACAAACAAAAACCGCAAAACAAAACAAAAAACCAAACAAACCAAGAAAAACTTACTGCTAACATAGCTCTAACATGGCAGTATCTGTTACAGTTTTAGGGTACAATTTTACATCATTTCTTTGGCAACAAAGGCAGCTTAAAAGGTTTCCTCTGCTGCCTGCTGGTATCCAGCTCTTGCAGAGAGGGCTTTTTCCTGTCTCTGGTAGATCCCTCCATCAATGTGCTGTAACAGCATGTGGGACCCTGCAGCAAATTGGGTTACTGAAATGTCTGGGGTTTTGTTGGGAGGTGTTTTTGTTGTTGTTGTTTAGAAACAACAAAGGTTGTGGAGTGTTTGTTTCTGTTTGCCCAGACCATTTCAAGGATCTGGTTTTGGCTAACCCCACAAACCATGGCACAGCTGGGCAGGAAGAGGAGCAGACTGCAGCACCGGCATCTCTCTGCTTGCGCCTGAAACTCTCTCCAGCTCTGCTGCTAAAGAAAATACAAAGGGGCTTTACAAACAGTGTGAACCTTTCTGAAAAATAATGACCTGGTTTTGCATACCCAAGTTGCTGGCGTATTGGATAAACCCTGGCAGTAAGTCGAACAAGTTCTATTTGGACTTCAAAAGGAAATGACAGTTTCAGCTGCTGAGTCCCTGAGTTTGCCATGTTGTTTGAAGTACTGGATTAAAAACCAGGTTAGGAGACTGACTTTTTTCTTTTTTTAATACATATAACTGTCATTATATGTTGTCTTGTCTCTCCTTACAACTGTATGAAAACAACCTATGGTGGGGAAAGGTGTACTAAAAAAGAGCCTGGTTTAAAAGTTCTACTACTTCTGCTTTCTGTGAAGGGTTATCTATCTCCTTCAGTCTGTGCTTACTCCTGTACCAACCAAGCCGCTCTTGACTTTCTTCGATAGCCTCTTCTGATTAGCATGACCTGCATGAAGCTGCGTAATCCTCTCTCTTGTTCTAGCAAAATGGAGATGAGTTAAAGATGAGAGGAGACGCACAAGGCCCTTGTGGACCCACCCTTCAATCCAGCTCGTTCCCAGGCGCGGGGAGGACTTTTGATCCCCCTCTGATGCTCTTGCCCACAGCCATTGAGCCCAGGCTTGTTAGGAAGCTGTAGTTTTACTGTAGTGACTCCTGGGATGCAGTTTTATCACTTCAGTAGTAACGCTTTTCTTCTTACACTGAAGAAGATTGCTGAATTTTATTTCTGTTTCTTACTCAAGGTGGGTTTTGGGTTTTTGTTCCCCCCCCCCTCCCCTTTCCTCCTGCAGTCAGATGTACACTGCAAATGGCACAGACAGTGCCTGCTATTGTGGCTCAGGCTCAAGACTTCACATATGTAAAATGTGACTTGCAGCACTTTCTTTGAAGCCTAACCACAGCCAGGGAGCTGTAATTGCAGTCTTTGATTGTGCCGACTTCACTTGTGGATTGGGCTTTGCTAGGGCATGCCTCGCTTGGCGAGACTTCAGCTACAGCCCCCCAGTGAAGCCTTAGATGTGGGAAGCCTTCAGTCTCCTTAGCACATGCCTGTGGTTTCTTGAAAAGAATCCTGATTTGACCTGTTTTATATCTGTAAGGCAACACCGTCATTCGTAATTTTTAGGTATTATTTGGTTTATCGGCAGTTGAAGCAATTTCCCGCGTGTAGCCTTAATGTGCAGCTGGGGAGAGGCTGGGTTCTAGATGCCGTTTTCAGGATAGCTACTGTGTAATTTGCTGTACTGCAGTATTCACTTAACAATATTTGGGGCTTCACTGTGCTTGTCCCCTTGCAGAATTACAGCAGTAGCTGCAGCCTCTCTATTGGAGTGGGGGATAATTAGGGCCCAAGAGAGGCTATGGAAAGGAGCCAGGTGCTGCAAAAGCTGCTTTGGGATTGAGAAAGAAGTGATGGCCACTGTTTGAAAAAACTGAGAGCCTGAGCAAGGCCGCGGTCGTTATTTTAACCTCCTGACTTCAAAGACAGCTTTCTGGTAAGGGCAGGGGGAGGAGGCAGAGAACCATCTCAACAGAAGAGCATTTCATTTCCTTCGGTGAAGTAGACATTCCTGGCTGCTAATGGGGAGTAGCTCTGAATCACAGCGCTTGTATCAGACTGCTGTGAACTACTGGCCTGGCGCCTCAAGGCCATTCCTCAACAGGAAGCTGAATGTTTTCATGTAAGACTGAGAGGAAAACCTTCCCAGGAAGAGCAACCTGGACCAAACCTTTGAAAATCTGGGATGAAAAGGCACAAAATAAATATAAAGCTGCAGGGTGCTCTCCCCAGTGTTCCTCTGCTGTTTGCTTGGCCTCTCTCTCGTGCTCCTTGGAAAGGTAGAGCCCTTTGCAGCTCTTTGATCCGCATGTGTTACGGAGCACTGGGCTACTTTATATATTAAAAAAAAAAAGGCAGGAAGCTCAGAAGGCTTTTTTTAGTTGAGACTTGGGCTGGTTTTATGAGGAAATAGGAACTGAATTAGTCAATACAGACCACCTCTGTTGAAACCACTGGTTTGCCAGTGGACTTTCAGCTGTGCTGTTTAAGAGGCCACAGTGGCTTTAAATGTTCTTTTGTGGCTACCAGCAGCAGGTGAAAATTAGCATTACGTATCAGGGATAGTGGTATTCGGGGGAGGGGAGAGTGTCCTTCAAATTAAAGCCATACAGGACAGTTTTTTATATAGATTGGTGCTTGTTCTTTCTACCTTATTTGGTCTGCTGTTGAACTTCTTCAGTGTCCTCAACTTTCCACTGAAATAATGGTCATGTAGGTGGCCTCTGGTGTGAACACTGTTTTAGTAAGATTTTGGGGCCTCAGCTTGTGCTGCCTAAAATCAAAATGTCCAAAATCAGTTTTGGAGGCTTTCTACCCTGGAGTACATTAGCCTGTGTAACTCCCTACTCAGGAGCTGTACACAACCAGTACAGGCAAAATACTTTGTGTTGTAATGACATACATGGAAACTGCAGCAGATGGGAGGTGGATGCCCCATTATAAATGGCCCTTGTTTAAATCTTGCTGCTGTAATATTTGCTGATTAATGGTGGCTCAAGCAATCTATCTGTTATGATTAGCCTAGCAGAAGTTTGACCTGCAGTTTAAACCATTTCTTCAGAAACTTGTTCTGTCTTGCCTTGCGTGATTCAAGGCGCTGGCAGCGTATCTTCTTCGTGTGACTAAGCATTTTGTGTTTCTTCTGCTGAAAATTCACTCACTTTCTCCACTGAACTGCATTCCTGTGCTAATTTTGGTCATTCTCAAAAGCTGCGCTCATTGAACGACTTGTCTGGCAGCTGAGTAATACCTGAAGACCTAGAGGTTAACATAGATTTTTTTTAAGATCCCAATAATCCTGAGACCATTACTGGAGAGCTTGTGTCCATCTGTAATAAAATGTGTGACTCATGAGACAGCGCTGGGGTGGAGTCCCTGTTCTAACCCGGTCGTCTGGGTCAGAAGGGCAGGGGTGATGGCTGAGTTAGCAATTGCTTAAGTCAGCTGATGTAACCCAGAGACCTAGCGACAAAAAACTGTTCCTTTCTGCATGAGCAATACCTACAAGGTGTGCACTGTTGGCCTTTTCACACACTGTAAGAACATAAATCCTCCCAAGATCCCAGTGAACTTTACTGCTAGGTAAGACCCATGGCTCATATGCAACTGGAAGATGTTCCCTACCCTGCCAAAGAGCAGAATGAATCCTCCTGAGTTGTGTGGATGCATGGTAGGGTCAGTGTTCACACAAGCCTCACCCACCACATTCCTCTACCCAGCTGCTTACAGAAGACAACATTCCTTTGTTTCTGCAGGGAATGGAGCTTGAGGCTCTGAAGCAGAGGTTTCACTCACCTCAGACACTGTAGTACCAAAGCCTGAGGATGTCGAGTTTTGTAACAGCTATCTGGGTCAAATGTTGTAGATGAATGAAATCCACTCCAAAAGGAAATTATTTCTGTAGTATGTTGAATGTCTAAATAGCTTAAAACTCCACCTTTCTCAATGGTGTGGACATCTACTTACAATACAAAGTACTCTCCATAAATATTCTTACAAACTTAAAGCAAAAGTAAGTAGCAATACTCTGAACTTAACTTTGGCATTGCAAATGCACGTTCCACTAATACAGTTGTGCCATAGAGCTACAGTGATCCATCACCAGCTCCTTTGAAAGATTTAAAAAAAAAAAAAAAAACAAAAAAGAAAAAAAGGCTTCATGTAGTCCTTATCTCTCTCTCTCTCTCTCTCTCTCCCCCTCCCTCCCTCCCTCTAGGTGGGAAAAGAAATGCTTTCTCAACTTGCAAAGCAAAGGCGGCGACACCAGGACCCCTTCTGGAGATGGAAGCTTGTTAAACCCTAGGTGTGTCCTTCATCCACACAGACCACCCCAAGGAGTCTGTCTAGGATGTCATTCACCCTGATGTCACTGCTAGAGACACTGAATCATAAAGACAATCACTGCCAAAATCCTTCACTGTCACGAGGTCCAGCCCTGATATAAATAGAGCAAATGAGCTCCTGGGTCAGCAGAGCAGCTTTTGTCTTCACCTTTGCCTTGCACTCTTAAGTCCCTGTTTCATCCGTGTCCATACCAAGTCAGCAAACAAAGTAGCGTGGCTGTCTCTGCCTGCTTCAGCCAACAGAATAACGTAGCCCACAGCTGCCCCATCCAGCACAGTGAGGAATGGAATTTGCCTGGACCAGGATGACAACACACTCAACCTTTTTATTTAATGGTGCGACAGGATCAATTTTGGTTTTAGATTTTTTTTTTTCAAGAAACTTGAATGCTTTTATATTTTAACTTTAGTTTGTAATTTCTTTGGTGTATATTTTACTAGGTATGAGCTTTTAAACAAGTGTCAGAAATCTGAAGTACTTTTTAAATAAATGGGGTTTTCCTTTTTTTTTTTTTTTCTTTTCTGCCAGAGGAAAAACCTGTATGGAAAAAAGGTGGCTTTTTCGTTAAACTATTTGTAACAAATAGTGGCCTCTCAGTCTATATAATACAGTGTCCTATAGAACCTAATAAATGTAACAACAGTCAGCTGGTCAGTAGACACACCAGTCTTGCATCATCTACTCTGTAAACATAAGCAATACATCCAGCAAATCTGACTGCAGTGAGTTCTCCTTCTCACCCATTCCCCTTCTCCTTGTAAAAAGCCCAGCACTTGAATTATTACTTCAATTGTTCTGTATTTGTATCTGTTTTTGTTAGCCTGTTAGTGGGATTTTATGCCAGTTGTTGAAATGAACATTGATGTACCCATTTTTTAAAATAGTAAGGCACAGCCTTTGCCAAAAATACTGTCAACTGATTTTTTTTTTTGTCATTCCAGTTTGAGTTAATGTGCTGAGCATTTGTTTTTTAATAAAAGCTTTGTAATAAAACTAACATCAATTGTTTGGCTTAAAAAAAAAAAAAGAGGGAACGGCTTGCACCAGAATCTTACGAAGGTAGAAGCAAGCCCAGGATGGCACAGTCAGTTCCAAGGCTGAAGACTTTTGTAGGAAATGCAGTGTGCCTGCTTGGCTGTTTGCTCACCTGAAGAGAGGTAATTTTGGAAGATGACTTTCTTCCTAAAGAGAGCAGATGTCACTTGTTTTCATATCAGGAGTAAGGAATGGGTAGGCTTGGTGCTCCTTTATGCTTCTCACTTAGATTTAGCCCAGGGGGAAGTACCAGGGTCTGTGATCCCTTCCATCTTCAGTTTCCTACTAAAATCTTAGTAAATGCAGTAGTGGTTTTACACTAATGATTAGGACTATGGACTCCCTTCTTTCTGGATGCAGTTCATGCCCACAAAAGAGGTAGGAGCCTACAGTTAAATTTCATAGAACCATAGAATCACAGAATGGTTTGGGTTGAAAGGGACCTTAAAGCTCATCCAGTCCAACCCCCCCTGCCATAGGCAGGGACACCTCCCACCAGACCAGGCTGCCCGAAGCCTCATCCAACCTGGCCTTGAACACTTCCAGGGAGGGGGCATCCACAACTTCCCTGGGCAACCTTTGCCAGTGTCTCACCACGCTAACATCTAGTCTAAATCTACCCTCTTCCAGTTTAAAACCATTCCCCCTTGTTCTGTTGCTACCTGCCCTTGTAAAATGTTCCTCTTCAGCTGTGTAAGTTATACTGCAGGCAGGGACTGGAGCCAGCTGCAAGGTCAGCTGTGGAGGGCCTGGTTTCATGGTGTCAGATGTCGAGAGCTGGCATGGCCCTGCCTACTGCCAGTGGTGCCCGTGAGATGTTCCTGTAGCAGCAAGCGGCTCCTCTGCACGCCTCAAAACTGAAAACACAGACATTGAGTCTTTTAACCTCCAAACGCTACCAGCAGCTTCTCAGACACCTTTCCCCTTTTGCTTAGGGATTGGTATTGTACAGCTCTGAAAAACAGACACAGCTGCCTGACTTCAACTGAAGAATTTCAAAAGGTAAAAAAAACAACCCCATTGTAGCCACAGATGAACTATTCCAATAATTTGTGAGCACCCCTGCAAAAGAGATATTATGAACTGTACATTGAATCAGCATACCTTGCATCCTAGCTCCTGAATCTTCTTTGGTGTGAGACTGGACTGAGTCAAGCTTGAGCTACAAGAAGTGACATAGGTGAGTTACTGCCTAAGGAAGCTTTGTGATAAGATTGTTTACAACTGACCCTTAAACTCTCTTGCATAAGAAATTTCATAATGAAAAATGTTATAAAACAGCTTCCTTGTAAACCAGCATGTGCTGCACACAAATCCAGCTGTAAGAATGTAACCAGCATATTAGTTCTTGCAATATTTATTTCTAGCAACTAGTGATTACGTTAAAAAAAAGGCAAAACAAGTGACCAGCGAAGGGAATGCTCTCAGATGGCAGGAGGAAAGACCTCAGAGAACAGCAGCTGCATACTGACATTTTTGCAAGACTTGGCTCTGTTTCTATTCCAGTCGGTTATCCCAGCCTTTGCTGGAAACCTGTCTGGTTTTTGGTTTGGCATTTGGTTTTGTTTTTAAAGGGGAAGAACCAAGTACTTTAGTGCAGCAATTGTTCTAAGAATTACTGCAGTGAGTTCTGTAAATTACATGTTCCAAAGATAACCGTTCTTTTTAAAACTTTTTAAAACATGACTACTTTATTTAGATTTTTAATGGCTATTTTAAAAAGCCACTTACCCATTTTGCAAAAAAAAAAAGTTACCAGTAGAGTTGTTAGCCCTCTGTAGCACGTTGTCCCAAATGCACTAGGTAGTGAACAGCTGCCTGTCTTTAGGACAAAAGGGCTTTCAGCTTTAACAGTGAAGGAGAAAAAGAATTCAGGAGCTAAAAATACCATCTCTGCTGTTAACATACAGTGAGCAAGCACCATGTGGTGGCTCATTCATAGATCAAAGACCTTTCACATACAGCAGCTATGAGAAAGGTTAACTAGTATGTAAGGCTTGGGATGCTCCCATGAGGGTACCTGAACCAGAGTCACGGCACTGTCCTGGAATACCCTCGGTGACTTGGGTCAGTGTCTGCTCCTGCCCCCCACTGCGGGGCTGAAAGAGCAAACTGACCTCCTTGCACTGCACCAGCTTGGCAGTGACAGATGAGCTAGGAAAAATGGCTTAGAGATGATGGAGCTACCCGAGAAGGAGGACTAGGTTTAAATCCTTGTGATATCAAATAAACAGGTGAGACTCAAAAATGACACCTGAATTCCTGATGTGCAATTTAGGCAGAAGTCAGCATCTAACCATGTTTCTCTTGCGTGCCTGAGGAGGAGATTACCCTGTATTTCCCACTGCAAATGCCTTTAAGAATTTAAATGTTCTGCCTAATGGCCGGGTTAATTACCCAGACACTTTTGCACAAGCATTCATAAACCCCTTCTCTCCCTCCATACTTCATTCCATGCAGGCGCCAAACCCAGTTCTGCACAGATCTCAGAACAGGTAGTCCCATTCGTCAACACAGGACACATCCTTGTAGCTGGGAAACACACATCCTTCCCCCTCCCCTCACCGAAAAACCAGCAAAGGGCAGATGCAGAGCAGGGCAGTTGAGGCAGGATTACTTAGAGCTAATCAGGCCAACATCACAGGATAGTCTGGCTCCTCAGGCTTCTGGATCACCTGGACCAGCACCACTTCCCCTCCGCTACATAAAAAACAACGCCCCAAGCTAACTTTGGCTTCTTACACAGCACGTGATGACAGATTCACTGGCTGTGCCTATAGGGACTCTCCGGTTCTAGAGAGTTTGTCTTCTGTTGTAGTTTCCGCTGTGGATTAGCTAACAGAAGAAGCAGTAAGTTAGTTGTGCAAGTGATAGGATGATGGCTAGGTCGATTTGCAGCAAATACGAGACCTCAAGGACCCAATCCTTGCTCCAGGCTGTAGGACAGCAGAATCCAGTGTCAGTCATCTGCACTCCTTTGAAACCGCAACAGTGCCCAAGGCTTTGAAGCAACCGTTCCCTGTTTCCTGATGGCCTCCTGCTCTGGTCTACATGGCAGCAAATTAGGCTAAAGCAAGACAGGCAGAAAATGAAGGACGCTGCAGAGACTAAGAAATGCCCAGCAACCTCTCCAGTCAGTAATGTAACTGCAGTTTGCTCCCTTGTGTTCACAAAGGGGCTAACATGCCAGGCAGCCTCCCCTCCAGCATAAGGATGTAATACCAAGTAGAACATTACAGGGAAAGAAGCGACTCCACAAACAGCCAGAAGCCTGTCAGCTATGAACACATTTCTCCTAAGTCGAGTCAGTGACAAAACTACTGGGCTAAGAAGGAAGTTAGCCAAAAGGAGAGCAGCTCTAACAGGAAAGTGGCCTGCTGTAAACACAGACGTTCTGAGATGAAGACAAAAACCTAGAAAGTGTGCCCAAACACCTTCATTTTTCCACATGACAGGCCAGGAAGAGAACCTGTCTCCTCACAAAAATCAGCTTTAGAAAGCAAGCAAACAAGCATCTGCAACCCCAGAAAAAGGGGCATGTCTGCCAGAAATATGGGAAATGAAGATCTTAACCACCAGCTTTGAGCCAGATCAAAGCAAGGACTAAAATTCTGCTCCTTGTCCTCCCAGGTAAATACTGATACCTTCAGGCCATGGGCTTGAGATGACATCTTCTCTCTGGCTGGAACACTCCTGCAACAACCATAACTTCACTGAGCCACAGAGGCAGCGTCTGCTTGGCTGAGATAACAGTCACTGCTTACCTGCTCTGGGATACCAAGGGTTTTTTCCTGTGAATGATGTTCTACAAAACACATTCCAAAAAACTCACCCGTGCCACCTTCCAGAGACCCAACACATACAAATGACAGGTTTGTTCATCCCTCTCAGCTATAGAAAGCCAACATGAACCAGCAGAGCTAGGAGAAAAAATTCCATCTGCCTTATATTAGAAGAGCAACTCACTCAAGAATTGGTCTGTCCTGTTCATCATGCTGAGAAAAGGCAACTATGAAAAAACAGAAACTTCAGCAGAATAAGAAAAATAACATATTCCATAATTTAATGATGGTCAAGACACTATTTAGAGAGGCAACTCTTTGAATGTGGACTAATTTCCAGCAGCTAAGAAAACTGGCTAAAAAACCTTGCAGGTTATTGATTAGACTGAGGTAGGACCATCTCTATGTTCTTTTAAGGGAGAACAAGCCACAGAAACAAGAACTCAGATATTGACAGTGCAAAAATGCCATATAAGGGTTAGGTTTTCTCAGCACCTGGCTGTGAAAGTGAAGTGCTGGGTAATAAAAGAGGAGACAGTACACACCAGAACATGGCAGTGGCTACAACCCTTGACTAATACCAAGTTTCAAAGCCTAAGATGGACAAGATTCTTAGGATCTAGTTGCTGCTTTTGCTACACTGACTCAGAAATAAAGCCTCTCCCGGCACTCACTGAGCAGTTTTGTTCTGCCCATACTGGTACTCTGAAGCAGTTACTCCTCACATTTTTTTTAATAAAGTGTGAATTTACCGAAATTACTTACTGGAACAGAATAGCAACTGATTTCTCAATATCCAAGCAGTTCATTCCTGTCTTCCTCTGGCCCATTCGGTTTCACTCCTGCTCTTGGGTTTCTCCATCCTCCCACTTCTCTCTTGTGTTTGACCCCTCTGCTCCTGCCCTGTCCCCATGGGCAGCTGGGGCTTCCCTGCTGCTGAAGTGGCATTGCTAAGTGCTCTCATCTGCTGGGAAGCAGGACAGGAAAGCCTGCAATGTTCTTTGGAGCATGCACTAGTTGGGGTTGAAGGATGTCCTTGCTAATTCACATCTTGAAATCAGTTCTATTAAAAGGTCTCTAAAATCCTTCAACATATGCTGCATTTCCCTCTGCCATGTCAAATATCACATTTTGAAAGTTCTCTCTCTATTCCTCAGCAGATCCAACAAGTTTTCC